ACAACAATAGGACACAAAGGTAAATGAACAAATATAGGACGATAATGATTAAAACAAACATTGACAGAAATTGTGTGAGTAATTTTGAATATTCTCGTGTTTTGAAAAGAAACAACGTGAGAGAACAGAAATTAGAAGACAAAATAAATAATAGAATGAGAGAGAGAGAGGATGTAAGAATTAAGCGAAATTTATAAAATTATTTATTGTAAGTAACAAAAATAACGTCCTGGTAATTATGATAGTGGCATCAAATTCGAAAAATTTAATTCATTTATTTTATGATTTATTTTATAATATAATATAAAGTAATTTTAATATCAAATAAATCATAAAATTAATTTTTGTTCTTTTTTTCTTTTTGTTTATGTTCACTGCCATAATTATCCGGTATTTATAAATCTGGTAATAAACAATGTTTCTGTGTAAATGCGAAAAACAATGTATAATTGTGAAGAAAAACTTAAACGATCTGACTTGTAATAATCGACGTAATTATTCTAAAAAAAAAAAAAAAAAAAACTTGCTTATTTTCCATTTTTATTATTTTTCTAATAAATAACTTTTATTATTGATCTATAGAAAATACTTCAAGGATTGAAGAAAATCGTAATGGATCATTTGTTCCGTTTTTTTTTTTTTTTTTTTAAATTATTTTTTATGTTTTCTGTAATACAAATTGTCGCTAAATTATTTCTTTTCTTTTTTATTTTATTTTATCAAAAACAAAAAATAATATGTCTGTTTTCCTAGATGAATCATTTGTATGCGTCGTCGATGGGATTACACACACACACACACACACACACACACACATACACATACCCCATACACGCGTATTTTGAGTAAACGAGGGTGAAAGAAACTTCGACCTGTTTTTTCACATTTCTCGATCTCATTCGCATTTTCATAAGACATTCCATGTTTTATTAATATAAAAACAAAACACAGAAAATCAAGAACTCCTCGCACATTGAAAAAAAAAGAGAAAATAAATAACTAAAAAGAAAAAGAAGAAGAAGAAGAAGAAGAAAAATAAGAAAAAATAAGAAAAAATAAGAAGACCTATCAGCTCACCCGTGTCTTATCAATTTTGTCGAATCTCGGTGTGAGCGTCTTCTTACCATTTTATCGGCATATACACGTTTCTAAAAAAGTGGTTGGGTAAGACCGATAAAGAGAATAAAGCCCGAAGAAAAAAAATAATAAAAAAAAATAATAAATAAGAAGAAAGAAATGAAACACAGCGGTAATATCGAAGAAGAAAAATACTGTTCGATATTGATTGAAATACGAAGAAGGAAAGTAAGAAAAAAAAGGGGAAGGATGAAAAGGATTGGTGAAGGGTGGTTTGGGGTGGTAAAAAAGGGGAAAGGTATAGGAAAGGAAACGGACTCGTTCGATTAGTTTATTTATTATTTATCGATTAGAAACTATTATTATTTGTTTCAATTTGTATATTTCGTTCTTATTGTTAACAAAAAAAGATATTGAAAATTTAGATATATATAAATTTTATTTTTTTTTTTTAATATTGTTTCATTTAGGTATATCGAAAATGTACGGAAAGATGTTTATATTGATTTTCCTAATTCGTGGTTGATTCTAATTTTTGATATTTTCAAAAAATAGGATTAATAATATCGAACGATATATATTGTTGATTTTTATTGTTCGATTTTTGAATGTTCTTTTCTTTTTTTTTTTTTTTTAATTGACTTTTTTCGTACCTGCCTTTCATCATCCTATCCTCCTTCTAATCCTTCCTTTCCATTTTTCTTTCTTTCTTTCTTTCTTTCTTTCTTTCGAAAATTTCATTCATTAAAATCTTTTCTTTTTTCTATTGCATTTTTCTCTTTCAACTTATCCGCGTCGTTACTCATTTACTAGAAATTTTTAGTCATAGTAGTCGATAATATATATATAGGGTGAAAAAGAGAGAGAGAGAGAGAGAGAGAGAGAAAGAGAAAGAGTATTATTAATTTTCACCATTGTTGCCATGTTATTGTAAAATTAGCTTAAATTACGTGAACAAAAAACCTATAGAAAGGTTTATCATAGAAAAATAAAACACACACACATAAATGAGAGAAAAAGAGAGAGATGAAACGAGGTCGTAAGTAATATATAAATATTATAAATATATATATATATATATACACACACATATATATATTACATTATATTAAATTATATTAAATTATATATTATATTATATTACATTATACATTATAATTAAACCTAAGTCATATTTATACATACTCGCACACATACATACACATACACATACAAACATAGCGTTTCTAGTCATATAGTTTTTCGACGCTCGGTGAAAATAGAAGAAAAGTGACGAAGAAAAATTTATAAAGAAAAGAAATGAAAAATAGTCAAATGTACGAGCATGGTGAAGAAAAGAAATGAATGTGTTAGTAGGGCGCGTAGTAAATAACTGGCATAATGCAGTTAGGGACATACATACATGACATTCGTATTACGTGCATCGCACACATACATACACATATACATAAAAGCATAAAAATTTTACATTATTTGAATGTAAAATTATGCTCACTTTTTCGCACGTTTTAAAAATTTCGATTATAAAGTTTGAGCGTGATTTTCATCACACGACGAGACAATTAAATAATAATACTAATAATAATAATAATAATAATAATAATAATAATAATAATAATAATAATAATAATAATAATAGTAATAATAATAGTAATAATATGACGGAGGAGTATTGTGGAAAAGATGAACACACGTACACATATGCATAAGTGCATAAAACATTCATGCAAATGTTTAAATGAAACTAAGAATTAAAATTGAATTTGTTTATCGTAAAGAAAAAAAAAAAAAAGAAAAAAATAAATGGAATGAATTTAACGTTGGCTTTTAAACGAAAATGAAAACAAAATTTTGTACCATCCCTTATTTATTAAAACGCGATCGTTTTTTCTAGGATTAACTTTTTAATGATTCATCGCGATACATAATATCGTAAGATAAATATTATAATATAATATAATATTCACACATAATTCCAATTATCGATGATGTTCGATGACTATGTTCGTGAAAGTCAACGTGATCTCATTCCTTCGATCAAGAAAATAAAATAATAAAAAAAAAATATACACGCATAACAATATACACACATATAGAAATTATAATAAATAATAATAAATGTGAAGATGATTGAAAAGAAATAAGAAAGAAAGAAAGAAAGAAAGATAGATAGATAGATAGATAGATAGAAATGGGGAATACTTTGAATTCATATCGACCAAAAACACTAACCGGCAATTAAACTATGTTGAAAGAATCGAGAAAACTCGATCACAAATTAAGTATATCGAAAAATATTACCAATAAACAACAATAACTTTAAACAAGAACAATAATATTATCGAGAGATTAATAAACAATATTTTTCTCTCGAAAGTATAGGAAATAAATGCGTTTTGCGCGACTCGCTTTAATAATATCTGTTAGAAAAAAGAAATAAATAGAGAAAATGAAGAAAGAAATAAACAGAGGGTTGTTTCAAAAAGGATTTAGCGATGTACTGGCAGTTTCAGAAGGAGGGTCTTACCTTTGACCTTTTTGCAAAAGACCTATGTAACATAAAACGCTTTTTATTCTATCAAATATGGGCCGACCGACTTGCCGTTGCAAGAAAAAGAAAAAGAAAAAGAAATGAGAGATCAAAAGTGAGAATACGATCGTCGTCTAGAAATTTTTGTTCATCTCTGGACACACAACAAATATTATGAGATTATCGCGATAGTACGCACATACACACACGTTCGCGGTTATAATAGTAATATGTACGGGACAAACGTAATTTCTATCGTTACGAATAAAGTAAAATGATTGCACTAAATAAAAAGAAAGAAAGAAAGAAAGAAAAGGGATAGGCGGAAAAAAAAAAATGAACTTTACTAATGAAGTATAAAACTGGACAGAATATAATAATAATAGCGTTATATCGTAATCCTAATGATTAATGGTAAATTTAATGATTATAATGTATTGGTAATGATAAAGAATAATAATGTTTAATTGACGATCAATAATCAAGAGCACACAAGTATTTCATTATTCATTCATAGTTTAAATGAACATTTTTATTTGTTTTTTTTTTTTCATGAAAGAGTGATGTGTATGAATATTATTAGAGAGAAAGAGAGAGAGAGAGAGAGAGAAAATACGATGGAGAAGTGTGTGAGAGAGAGAAAGAGGATTATAAACGAAGTTATACACCTTGGAACGTTACAAAAATTACCAACAAGGAAACTTTCATCATATAAAATTATTATGTAATAATTGTCCATAAGTCTTGAACTGTCGAAATAAACTAATAATGAAAAGAACATATTAGTTTTTATAAAATTTTGTTTCACTTTTAAAAAGCTATCAATTTCGCGCGCTTGCGCATAACACATATTGTCATATATTTGTATTAAGTTTGATCAAGGTAGTATTTAAATGTCAAAGGCGGTAGAAGACTAATGTTTATGTCACGTTTGTTTATAATTCATATGTTTTATTAAAAATGTCTTTATGCTGTAGTTATACTCCAGATTATTTTTCTATAAATGATATTTTAGCAACAGAAGAACGAATATTATGTACAATCGATATTACATTACCTGGTTTAGGTAAGTTTTTCTAATCCTAACCTCAACATACTTACATTTGATATTGTTTTACATTTGCTATTAAAATATTTTCATTCTTTGATCAAATTATATTAACATAACATTGTCTTTTTTAGGTTTCTTGGATATTTCTAATGATTCAGAAGATTTAAAACAAGGAACAAAGTTGGAATTTCCTATTTGGTTATCACATCCTCTCAGTGTCATACAAGGATCACTCATCAGCATAGAATTACCAAAAATATATAAGGATAATTATAGGTTAGTATGTTTAAATATAAATTAAAGATTTTATATAATCTTTATATAAATTATTTATAATACATAAATGTGTGTAAAAAGACATATGTATATATATAACCTCAACATATATATACATAACCTTAACGTCAACTTTCTATCTATAGAGAAATTCTTCAAGCAGATGCCTGTGCAGTATCGTTGAGCAAATGGAATCCTTATTTCTATGAGGTAGGAATGTATTTAAGAACTTTCAATATTCGAGAAAGTGAGAAATTAACAGAAAATTTGTTCGAGGTGAGTGAACATATTGAGATCAATCTCTTCATCAAATTTTGCTATCACAGTCATAATTTGGGATTTTTTATTACTTTGATAAATTGATATTATTATGTTTATTATTTCAAATTTGTTTTTTTATGTTTTAATATTTTTTATAGTTTACATTTAAGTTCTCTTTATGATAGGATTCTTTTGATTATATTGTTTTTGTTTCTTTTTTCTTTTCTAACTTTCAGACTTTTAAATCTAGATTTAGATTAATCATGGATTGGGCACAAAATCCTATTTCGGATCTGACGTTAGGTAGTCAGCTTCCGAGATTGGAAAGAGATTTGTTTTTAATTAGTAGAAAAGCTAAAGTACAATTAAATGATTGGTTAAAAAAAGGTACAGGTATTATAGAAACATCGGAGGTGGCTGCAAATCTTAAGAAACGTAAACGCACTGATTATGAATAAAAATAATTATAGTGAATTAAGATAATAATAATCATAATTTCACGTGTATTGTATACATAAGGATTTTAATTTTAGTCGTACTAAAAAAAAGAAAAAAAAGACTTTTATACTGTTATAATATTAATAAAATCTCTTATAAACCCCTTGCACTATGATTTAACATGCATGTCAAATTTGGTGCTATATTTAATTCTTCTTATTGTTGTTGAACGTATCACAAGTCTCAAATGTTATAGTGCAAGGGATTTATACTTTTAATCCTTAAGTTTTATATATATATATTTTTCTATAACAATAGATATGCAAATAAAAAGATGATCTATTAATTTGAAAAATGAAAAGTGATATATATTAGAAAATTTTGTGTATTATTCATTTAGTATATAGTTTTAAATAAATGAGATCATTTAAAAATCATATATTTTGTCAACCCTTTATTTTGTCAACGGCCTTGCCTCGTTTAAAGCACTAGTTCCCGTAAGATCACTAAAGTTAAACGACGATGGGCACGGTTAGTACCTTGATCAATGATCATTTGGGAACACCGTGTGCTGTTGACTCCAGAGAAGGGCTTGCAAAAGGACCTTTGTGGAAAGGTAGGCTGTGTTGGAAAGGTATTGTAAAGAAATTCCTCAAACCCGTAAAAGGGAGACTAATAAAGACATACCCCTTTATTTAATATTACAAATGCTTATATTTTAATTATTAAATAACAAATAAAAATTGTATTTACATTTCTTGTACGAAATCAGTCAACCATTGAACTGTCAACAATATTTAAAAGACTCTGGCAATGGAAAATGGTAATGTCTAATTCACAACCCATATCTAAGTAATGTTAAATTATATATATATATATACCTCATGTTGAGCCATAAAATAACTTTCATGCCATTTATGAACATGTATTTACTATATGCAATTGACAAAGCTTTTATTTTAATTCTATATTTGTATTATACCTTACAAAAGTCGACGTTCATTAAATCTTTTCGTACAAAAATACAAAATATATATACTTAGTTTATTATTAATTTCTTAAATTAATGGAGTTACGTTTATGATGTAACAGTAAACATATTAGTATATGAATATTCTTATATAATATAAGAAATCTATAACATTACATATAACAAAATAGATTATACATTTTTTCAAAAAAAATCAACTATTACAATAATATAATATTTTTTAATAATGGCGTAAAAAATAGGAATTAATTAAATTTTCATAAACTTTAAAAGAACATAATAATAAATTGATAATATTACTATCCTTACATTAATTATTATAACAAAACAATTCATAGCGATGATACTTGTAGACATTCTATCAATCATATTGACAAATATTAACAATTTGCATACCACTGTTCTATGGCATTGGATAAAAGTTATCATACTTTTATATGAATATTTAAATAATTATAATATCGGTAACAACAGGAATATTGCTTTGTATGGTGCTTTTAAATACAATTATCACATTTTTGCGTAGTAGTAGTAGTATTATTTAGAATATCATTATTCATAATTTATTTTTTAATAAGTGTATTCTGACAAACGTCTTCATTTGATGGAACATATATCTATCATATAAAATCGATTAAATTGTATTTAACAATGTATATAATTGCTTTTTATCCTATGATTATGTCAACATAGATATTTCTTTTTAAATCATCTTAACAAAATGCATTGATTCTCTTTATTTTTATTTTTTTGTATTTTTTTATGTCTATAAAGCGTCAATTATCCTTTCATGAGATTATCAATACATTTATCTATAGTTTAACAATATTATTAATATAAATTGCATTGTAATTGCTTGTTGTATTTTCAAAGGAAGACACATTGCATAAATTTTGCACGTGTATTCCTTTGAATTATATAACGATCACTTAAATATAATTTAATCTATCATAATATTATAACGTTTGGAATGTGATTTTTTTTTTTGTTATTTTTTTGTTTTTTTTTTTGTTTTCAATTAATAATAATCAAAACACACACAAGGTATATGTTCTTATTGCAAACATCGTGATGTTTCAAAATTTTTTTTTTAAATTATTTAAATGTTTATATTAGTTTAGTAAAGACAAATATAAAATAATTAGTCGAGCATGAATGCAATGTTTATGTATACAATTCTGTTTAGTTACGTATATAAATATTACATGTATTATATAGAAAGTACTTATATCCATACGTAACTGAAATTGTGTCAAAAACCAAAATAAATAAATTTTATAATTCTTGAAATCGTGCAACAAAATCTAAAGTATTTCAAGTAAATGATTTGTCAAGAGACGTCACATCATATTTGGGGTTCTTGCACGTTTCATCATTAGAATTGTATACATTTCATTGTCATTTTTTTATTAATTGTAAAAATATTTTTTATCGTTCATTAGCTCGATTATTAATTACCAACTCTTATTATTCTAGTATTTTTCATTAAAAAAAAATATAATATAAAAATAAAGGAAGACATTGAAAAGATTAACAATGTCCATTTTTAAATGGCGTCAGTTTATGATGGAGATGCAATCTTATCTCTTATCCCGTTTATCTTTTTGATAATCGATCGTTATTTATACAGGTGAAGAATTTAATTTGAAAAATAAAAACACGGCCGTACACCTAAGTACACCTATTGTAAAATTAATAAGAAAAAGAAAAAGAGAAATAGAAAAAGAAGAGTGCCACTCACATCTTCGATTATGTCCGATAGAGATACGGGAAAGGAGATAAACAATTTTCGTCGTTCGATATCTTTTATAGATAAATAATTCACGTCACTTTCGTAAACTTATCTTTTTGATTTGAAATAATATTTCTTAATCCGCATTTTTTTCTCTCCTTATTTTTTCTTCTTTTCTTTTTCTTTTTCTTTTTTTTTTTTCGTTGTCGAAGAACGGCCTTGAAGATTATCGTAGTTTGTGATTCAATGCTCATAAGAAAGTAAACATGTATAATTCGATGATCGATGATAATACATCTTTTTAAATCTTTCCGTTTGATTGCTAACAAATATAAAAGAACAAAACTAAAGATATTTTTTTTTTTTATTAAAAGGGAATGATCTTTGAGTAACGCATAAAAATTATTTTCATTACTTTTCCTTAACGTTATATCGAAAAACAACATTTATACGTGGATTGGATTGAAAAGTTTCAAACGTTGCAAATAAAAATCTAAATTGTTTCTTCGATAGATTCGAAATTGTTGAAACCACCATCCACGTGTGATTGAGATGAATAAGAAAGATATAATGAAATCATTTCCTAATGTCTTAACGTTGTATGGAAGAGATTAAAACGAAACACAATCGGTTTATTAAATAAGTCCTTCCTGATCTAGTCAGAATGTTGGTTCTGGTTCAAGGCTAGGTTCTTGTTTAAATAATCTGAATCCAGCAACGGTGTTTATGTCGTCTTGTTCTGCGATAGACACGAAATCCCTGATGATAAAAACTGGATTGGTATCTGCTAATATTTGTTCTTGGGGACTTATTGGGCCACCAGCAATATTGGAAGGTGTTAACGGACTTGTAGGACTTCCGTTGCTGCTTACGTAACTTCCAGGAGTAGTGGAAAGTTGTACTGGCGTTGATGTTCCGTTAAATTCGGTAATAGCACCACCAAGTAACATTTCTTGTAAAAGATCGTCTATCTGAGTTACACCAAACAATTTGACAAATTGAATTTGTTCGATCATTTGCCAAGAGATCGATTGCAGTGCCGTCAATGTCAGTAATATTTCCCCGAAACGACCACGGTTTTCGTATTGACGATCACTTATATAATCCTCCAGAAGGACTTGAACTTGATGTCGCATGTTCTGGATTTTTTGTGAATCGCTCAAACCATTTGCGTCTATAAAAAAGAAATAATTATTATTATTATATTGTTAAATACATATCTTTCTGATTTTCAGTTTTTAGTTTTTTTAGTTCTTTTTTTTATTTTTCTTTGCTAACATATAAATATATACATATATAATATAAGACCAAGATTGTCTCAATTAGATCTAATTTATCGTTTAGACTTTAAAGAACCCGCGTGTGGTAGTATATAACGATATAGAATGAATGATATATTTTATAATTGTAATTTTGCTTATAATTTCTTTTTGTTTTCTTTTCTTATTATTATTAAGATTATTGTTATGTTTACTTACATGGATCCAAAAACACGATGGCCTTGAGACAAGCAAATTCGGTATCATCCATTTGGATATCTTGGAATGGTTTCACAAGTTCCTCCATTACTCTCGTACCAACTTTACTGATGTCCAATTCTTCATTATGTCCTTCTGAAGAAAATATAAATACTGATAACAACAGTTGTATACTGTTCATTTGTTAATTAACCACGACTGAGCCCGGCAACAACGAATCTCATATTTCTATTTTATTAATTCTTATTTTCTTTTTTTTTTTTTTTGGGTAGAAGCGGGGAGGAATCTAAACTATGACAAAACCATCACCATCTTTTTTTTTTTCATTGCATGCAATCCAATTAACATTAAACAATAATTCCGGACTCAGTCAACTAGCTACAGCCCAAAAGCGAATATATTTAAACGAATCGTTCGGTTTATTTTTTTTTTCTTTTTTGATTATTCTTTTCTTACATTCATTTATTCTTTTCTTTTTTTACTTTTTTTTTTTTTTTTATAATTTAGCAACCGAACGATTCGATGCATTGCGTGAACAACGTTATACAGGACTAGCATCAAACTTTTCCACACGTTTTATCAACTATTTTTATTTTCATTTGCATTTTTGTTTATTTTAAACAAACATACAAATCGTTTTTCATTGAGTTAACAAGATTTATAAGTATTGATATATTTTATTCGTAATTTAATATAGTTCATTTAATATAATTTATTGAAATATGAGAAAAGTTTGATACCAATCCTGAATTTTCCAATGCAATTATTGATTGAAATATATAACGTTGGTACTCTGATTTAATATTAAATTATAAGTGTAAGCATTTTTTTCTAATTAAAAAACAATGACTTTTAACCACATGTATGTATATAATAGAAAAGTTGTAATTGTATTTTTTCTTTTATTTTGTTAGTATCAAAATAGCATTATAAGATGCATGGTATTATTTACATCCAGCTAAACTCACCCATTTAATTATTATCCAGTAAGCAAGACCTGTGTTTGCGTTTAATAAAAAAAAAAAAAAAATATAAAAAAACCAAAATATTATTTGGACCATTTTTTTTTCTTACGTCCATTCAATATTTTGTATCATTTTTTATTCCATAAAAAATCTCTATATGCAAATATTAATTAAATCAATTGTTTATGTAATCTCTTTTTCATCTTTTCACAAGATGAAAGTTTACAATTTCATTCTGCGTTTTATGGAACAATAATTTGAATTTCCATACGTATTTGTATTATTATGTTACAATTAATTGTAAGTATTAATATTATTTGTTAAAAGAAAGAAAAAGAAATAAATATATGTTCTATCACGACCTAAAAAGAAAAAGAAAAAAAATTCGTGTTAAATAATAAGTTACAATCAATGGAGCTCGTTGATTCGTCGTATCTGTTAGGTATTTCTCTGTCATTAAAAAAAAAAAAAAAAAATAAAAATAAAAATAAAAAAAAAAAGATAAAAAACAAGAAAATAGAAAGAAGATGAAGATAAAAATATTGTATAATAATAAATTGTATAATAATAAGCGCCATGGAAAGATGTAAGGGAACAATAATAATTAGGATGAATCGACGACTATCGAAAATAAGAATTTTTCGATGATAAATAGACATGGCAATGTTGTGACTCGGGGTACTCGACGCATATAACCGATTCGAAGGCCAAATTACGTAAGGATAAAAGGTGAAGGCCGTAAATCTATGTATTATATGTGTATAATACATTTGTATCTGTAATATGTGTATTATACGAGTGCCATGTGTTTGTTGGGAGATTATGTTCGATTTAACTTTTTAGCGTGGAGAATAAAATAATTCGTAGCTTTAAATAGATATGCACATACATATATACATAACGTTCGTATCGATATTTTTTTAAATAAATTATAGTACTATAAATATCATGGGTAAGGATTTATCAAAAAATCGATCGAGAAAAAGTAACGCGTAAAGGATAATGGGTATCCATTCCTTGATATTTTACTTGCTTATATTATTTTTTTTTTTATTTCTTTGTTATTTTGGATTTTCTTTTTCTTTTTTTTTTTTTCTTTTTTAACAACATTTACATATATGTATGTATTCGTTTCTCCATTGGAGTTCTACAAAGTTTCATCAAAACAATGTAAGAATGGTCATACATATTTGACGACAAGAGAATCTTGAAATTTTTCTATGTTGAATAAGATATTATTCGATTTAAATATTTTGTTTCTTTGTCTTTCTTCAAAATGTTAGTGGTAAAAAAATTCCCTAATACCCATTTGTGCTGATAATCCTTGACGAATGGTGGATTGAATCGAACAAGTTAGAAACATTTGTTTTAATGTATTTAATTCGTAATATAAATAATATGATAAATAATATATAATAAATAGTAGGATAAATAATTAATAAAACTAATTTGGATACGGTAAAAGTTTGTAATAATTGAGATAATTGTATGGTGCAATAACGAAAGAAACAATTGACTCAACATACGTTCAAATAAAATTTGATAATTATTAAAAACAAACAACGCTTATTAATTTGTTCGATTCATTCACCGATTCGTCGTTAATAATCGTTAGAATTAATATAAAAAAACAATAAAAAGAACAATATAACCAAAATATTAATAAACATATAAGAAACGATTGTAAGCGTTTGAAAAAAAAAAACAAAAAAAAAAATAAAAAAAGAAAAAATACAAAACGATACCAATAAACCAAAATATGTTTATCGATAGATATATAATAGATCATTTATTATTATGTGATTCAACTTACCAGGAGCAGTTCTGGTGATTATACAATTATTTCCTAGTAGTAATACATCTCTAAGGTGCAAACTGCGTCTTGCAACACCAAGTAGTAGGGTTTCGCCTGCATGCGCCCTTAATAATGCCACTTGGTCGTCTAGCGAGAGGTTGAGAAACGGTGGAATGAGTTTGGCCCAATTGACGAGGTTATTCAATTGGTCTTTCATGCTATTGCACACGTCGGCTAGGGTTGCTATTTGTTTCGTACTAAGATTAGTATCTTTTGCCTGTTCAAAAAAATAATTCATTAAATTGTATGTAATTCGTTCTCACATTTCGATAAAAATAGGATGGAAACTTGTAGAATAATAATAATATTAATAATAATAATAATAAAAGAAAAGAAAGAAACAAAGAAAGAGAGAGAGGGAGAAGAATGTTTCTGCGTATGGAAATAATGTGCTTATAATTAAATAGCTTGTAATTATGCATGCCGTAGCCATTTTCTTGATACAACTACGCATTACCAACGAAAGTTCCGATTATAAATATTCAGTTTGTCTGAGGTTAAGTTATACTGACCTCTAAGGTTTCTTTTCTGCTACTCATTTCAGCATGCATCAAGATATTAATAGATAGACCGTTAATATTATGTTGTTCCTCGTAACTGGGCCTTCTGCAGCTTATTCTATCTCTTTCATTTTGCACAGCTGTATTAAAAAAAAAAAATAATAATAAGAAAATATGAATTATTTCTTATCATTACTCTTAATCTATATTAACCCATTACCCATCACAATACGAAAATGCAAGAAAAAAAACAAAACAAAACAAAATTAAATAAACCAATTAAATGTGGTGGCCTCGTTTGAGAGCACGCACCACCGTTTTGTGTCGGCAGAATTGAGCCATGACAAGTATACTCGTCAATATACAAAATCGTGTCACTTCTACATGACGAATATACACGTCAATCACAATTAACTGGTAGTAGAACTATTTTTGCAATTATTTGTTTTTGGTTGTTTTTTCTTTTTTTTTTTTTTTTTAATCTTATTTAAATATACAAATTACTTTATATTATTTATTTATTGATTACAAATAAAATAGTGAGAGAATTTTGAATATTTTTATGAAACACGCGAAGTACGATTACATGATTTTCACGAATTTGAGAATGCGTTTCAAAAAAAAAAAAAAAAAGGCCATTGACTGGTAATGGGTTAAATAGAATAATAATATTATTTTTGTTAATTATTATTTTGTTCGAATACTAACCTTCTTTTTTCATGCCAGCTTTGAAGCATTTTCGGAGTCTGCAGTATCTACATTGATTACGTTTGTCCTTGTCGACAATGCAATTTCGGTGAAATCTGTAAAGTTTAGATTAACTTATAAAGATAGATATAACATTACGTGGAAAAAAAAAAAGGTTTTTCTTGTGTACTGTCGACATATCACTGGAAACCGATAAGAACATAAAATGAAACAAATACATTTATAATCAAATGTACTAAAAGTAATATTTCTTTTTTTTTTTCTTGAGAAACAACATTAGAATTTAATTTATCTGTAAAATAATAAAATTATAATTATTTTCCTCCTGAAAACAATTCCGTTTTGGTTATTTGATTTTTTTCTTTTTTTTTTTTTTGATTTCCATTCGATTTGGTCGACAATGCGCAACAAGTTCCAAAGAAAAAAAAAGAATTTTTTTGAACTTAACACTTTAATGGCCGTACGTGTACGTAGTCAAACATCGTCAAATGGGCCGGTAATATTTTCCAGAAATTAATTTACAAAATGTTTTATTATCATCTACGAAAAAATTAACATAAAACAAATATAATAATAATATAATATAATATATATATAAAGTTATAAATAAAATAATGGTCAATGTGTTCCGAGTATCACACACATGTTGTGTGAGCGGCCATTAAAGTGTTAATCGTTTAATGATTTGCAATTAATTTGATAAAAAAAAAAAAAAATAATAAATAAATGTCATGATTTATTTGTCTCTGTGTATTTAAATAGAATGCGTCATTCTTTTTCATGCACATGATTTTTTTTTTCTTTTTTTCTTGCAATATTAATTATATTTTCATTTTTAATATAAGTTAACATATTTCCAAGTCTCGTTGTAATTACAAAAAAAAAAAAAAAGAAAAAATTCATATGAATAATATTTTTTAAATTTATACTTACCGGCATGAATACAGATGATTTTTTCTGACTGATCTTCTAAAGAAACCTTTGCAACCATCGCAGGAGGCTGCACCATAATGTTTCCCTGTAGCACGATCACCGCAAATTGCACAGAGCTGGGATATGGTATTGGTAGGACCAGTATTTGGAACAGTCAAAACTTGGCCCCCTGGAGCTCCTCCGTTACCCATTCTCAAATCGTTATCTAAAATAGAACAATATATATATATATATAAATATATATATATATAAATATATAAATATATAAATATATAATATATAATAATATAAATAAAATATAAATATATAATATATGATACATAATAAATATATATAAAATAAAAGTTATATATTTTTTCTATATATTTTATAAAAAATAAATAAAATATATATAAAAAAATACATAAATAAAAAATATATATATTAACATTCGACAAGTGATGGGAATATTTCTGATTATAAAACATCGAAATAATAATAAAAAATAATATATTATACCAAAAATTAATTAATAATTGTATTTTCAAAATATCATTAAAAGTCAGCAAGTTTCCATGATCGACCGTGTAAACGTAAATAATTTTATATGAAAAAAAAAAAAAAAAAATACACAAATTTAAATATTTTTGTTTTGACGATATCGCATAAATAAAAATTAGATAATAAGAGAAACTGCGTTATGCGTTAATAACACTTCGACGAATAATTCCACGCATCGATCTTTAATTTTTTACTGTTTTTTTTTTGTTATACACATACATACACACACATATGTATATATATATATATATATATATATATATATATATATATGTATTAATTTTTTTGTGGCTTTTGTTGAAAACCAAGAGACAGCGTTCTTGTTGCCGTCGTAGAAGTCGGAGGGTCGCGATAACGCTATCACTGAAGGCTTTTTTTGTTTTCTTTCTCTTTCTGTCTTTCTTTCTTTCTTTCTCTCTCATTCTCATTCTCATTCTCATTCTCATTCTCATTCTCCCTCTCTCTCTCTCTCTCTTTATTTTTTTCTTTCTTTAAAACATTAAACTACGCTTCTTCTTGGCATGCACTGTTCACGATCATGGAGAATTTTGCAACGTTTTATTGCGCGTCTTTTGCAACGCGATGAAATTTATTTAAAACAATAATTCAATAATATTTCAAACAATAAAATTACATTATTTAAATTAAATCATATTAATTAAATCATTTTCAAATGAATTTTTCGCGTTCAATTTTACGATTTGAAAAACAAGAAAGAAAGAGAACGAAAGTAATAACGTTTTATCTTCGTTCTTTTTTCTTGTTTAATTTCTTCTCTTTATTTTTTTTATTTTTTCCACCTCTTGCATTTTCCTTATCAACGGCTCGTCCTTTTTATTTTTTTATGCAGAGTCATACACTCTTATAACCACTAACAGGTGAAACAACTTTCTATTTCTTAAGATTTATGATCTAAATTGTTTGAAATATTTCATGCTATGTATGCATATATATATCAGATACGTTTAATGATTTCAACATTTTTTTTTTTTTCCAATTTTTTGTTCGTTTTTTTTTTTTCTTCAACTTCGATATTATAGTTTAATACGTTCTTATTTACATTTTTAAAATGTTCATTAGAAATCTCGTCTGTCTTGTTTTGTAGATCGAAGGATCACGATAAAAAAAAATGTCTTTTGGGTGAACGCAGAGTTCGTAAAAAAATTACAAAAAAAAAAAAGAAAATATTAAAATACATATACAATACATAGTAATTAAATCAACACGTAGATTCGTTATTACTGATATGCATAATAATTAATAATAATAAATTATTATAAGATATAGATTCAGTATTTATTTTTATATATAATAATTAATAAGAAATAATAAAAATAAAAAATACATTTAATTAAGATTTGTTATTTCCTATTATATTTAATAATATTATTATTATATATATATATATGTATATTTAATTTATTAAAATTATAAATTTATTCAATTCATATTAATAATATAATTATTATTAATATAATTTATATTATTAAATATAATAATAAATACTAAATATAAATAATAAATATAAATAATATATTACTAATAAATATATATATATTATATTATATTATATTAATAATAATATAATAATAATATTTTATAATAATTATAATAATATATTATATAATATTTTATATTAATATTATATTTTAATTATAATTATTATATATGTATAATAAATATCGAATTTGATATAGTTTTTAATGAAGAGCCAATATCGTGAATAAAATTATTTATTTTTCTTTATTTTTAATGATATGAAATAACGAAGCTATTATCATAACTTTTGCCTTGTACAGATTAACCATCAAATACCTACTATTAATCGTTATTATGTAATATCACTCTTCTAACATAAAGATATGTTATTATGTAAGATCGAATGCAAACGAATTATACTAGTTAACTTTCCATATATTTTCTTTTCTTTTGTTTCTTTTTTTTTGTTTTATTTCTTGTTGCTAATTATTCTACGATAAGATGAAACACATCGATGGAATATTTGCATTGATCATTTTCATAAATGATCATATTTTCATAATTTCTGTTAAAATTAATCTCATCTCATCATTTATCTATATTTAATTTTTTTTTTTTGTACATATGTATGTGAGTGCTAAATCACATAAATTTATAACTAATCATTTATTTAAATAAACAAATATTTATTGTATAAAATAATATTAATCGGTGGAATCTAATGATTCCAGTCAATGAATTAAACGATCTGTTTACACTCGATTCTTAACATCCTTTTTACTACACGTGGTCTCAATGATAAATCTTTCAGGGTCAAATAATTTCTTAGATATTTTCAAATTGAATTTGATCTACGTATAAAAAAAAAAAAAAACAAAAAACAAAAAAAAGAAAAGAAAAAGGAAAGAAAAAAATCAAATATAATTTTGTCTATTATATTAAACAAATAATAAAATATATTTCTTAATTTATTATTATCAAATTAAAAACATTTTAAATTAATTTTCTTATTTTATTATTATCAAATAAATGAAATATTTGTTAATTTGTTAATATCGAAGGAAAAGGAAAAAACAAATATAATAACGTCATTGATTTGAATTTCATTTGAAAATTTACATATTATTATTATACAGTGGTTACACATGAATAATTAAAATAAATTTGTCGTATACAATATGAAGATGGAAACGTAATGACGTATATTCGTGGGGAAAAATAAAAAAAAATAAAAAAATAGACTAGGAGAAAAAGACAACAACAACAACAAAAAAACAAAAAAAGAACAAGAAAAAGAAAAAGAAAAAGAAATGACACCGATCGGAAATTCGTTGTTACTTTTTCGTTCTTTTTCTTGGCATATAAGTTCCAATACGAGTTTAGATATAAACTTGGTTGAGATTATTGGCGAGATTTAGAAGTTTTGCAAGTCGTTAAAAAAAAAAAATATAAAAAAAAAAAAAAAAAAAACACGAAGAGATTGTGCCAAGGACGATTCTTGGAGTAGATAATATCATCGGAGTAAGTATCTTTTTCGCGTTGTTGATCAACCGAAAAATCAAATTATTTTATTCGGTATTTATATTTTCAGTTTTTTTTTCGAATAAAATAATATAACGTTAATTATATCGAATATAACGAAGCAATAGAATTGAAAAAAAAAAAAGAAAGAAAGAAATAAAAAAAGACTAATAGCACAAACGAACTGGTAGTTTAATAAAAGAAAAACCGAACAATATTTAAAGATTGGAAATAATTTTAATAATTTACAAAATAATAATAATAAAAGGAAAACAGACATACAAATATTTTCAGTCAAGTTCTATTTTACATTTTTCATTTTTCATTTTTTTCCTGTTTCTCTTTTATTTTTATATATATATATTTTTTTTTTTAAATAATAATAATAAGTTGGACAACCGAAATTAGGTAATTGAAGCAATAGAATTGACAAACAAAACAATAAAAATAATACCAAACGAGCTGTAATTTAGTAAACAAGCAAACCAACAATTTTTAAAAGAAATATGAACATATTTTTAAAATTAAAAAAAAAAAAGAAAAAAAAACAAAGAAAATAAAACTAAAAAAGAAAAATCACACACACACACAGTTCAGTTTTATTTTAGTTATTCTATGATCGTCATAAACGCATTCTAATATTCCATGTATGTTATAAAAAAAACATGCGTAAAGATATATAAAAAAAAAAAAAAAGAAACAGAAGAATAATATTTATTTTATGGTCATTAAATGAAACCGGTAAAAGGTGCATTATTTACGACACAGATCAATTATTGTTATTGGAGTAGTAGCCCGTCCATTTTTTATCATTGTTTTATTGCTTTATTATCGCTTACGCGTTATCTCAAGGCTCCTAAACAATTTACATAATTAACCCCTCGAATGACTTGGATGACGTTTGAAAGATTAATTATTTAGAAATTTTGTACTTTTTCGTCATTATTTGTGTGTGTTGTTACCTTTTTCTTTTTTTTTCGTCTTTACTTTAGTTAGATTGGAAAAAGTAATAGAATGATTTTTTTTTTACACAAATATTGGTATATATATATTTAGTATTTGGTACATATCATTTATTATTTATATTATATATCACACATTATACGGTATGTATCATTTATTATATATATATATATATATATATATATATATATGAGCCGTTCCGTACACACATCGATTTACTCCATAAAACAAAAAGTTGAGAAATGCAATGACATAATGTATATTGTCTATTACTTATTATTCAATGGCCAAGAAAGTTAATTGATGTGTGCACTGAACGGCTCATATATATATATATATATATAATACAATATATCGATAATAATAATAAAATAAAATAAAATATATATTTGTTAAAATCCTAAGATCGTACAGGCACATGCTTCATGAAAATATTACAAATTCTCTCACTATTTTATTTTAAATCTCAATAATTAATGATATAAAATAATTTTTATCATACATTAAATAAAAAAGAAACAATTATTGCAAAAATAGTACTATTTTTGGTTAATATGAAATATTATTATACAGTTAATTTAATTATTTTTTTCTACATTTCTATATTGTGGCAAGTAATGATTTAAATTTTCTCATAATGTTCGAGAAAAAAAGACAAGTTAGAAAAATCGACAAACTTTTTTATTTTTTATTTTTATTTTT